AATAAAATTTTAATATATATATATATATATGTATGTATATATGATTAACAAGATCATCAAAGGTGGGGACAACACAAGCCTACAAGTTGCCTCAATGGGAGGTTCCTAACAAAAAGTAAAATTTGTAGAGCTATTGTAAGAAATTTGCCAAACAATTAGTTTCCTTAACCATGAAAACAAACCTGACCTGCCGCCTACGATTTAAGAGATCAACACTTCATTGAATGGGATTATGCAAGGGGTGGTTACATAATAAGTCGTGATGAAACACAACCTAAGCCAACTAAGAGTCGGTCTTGATAATAACACTCTTAGAACCAATATTTCAAGCATTCTCCAATGCAATGAGGATAGCCCACATCTTAACAATAATGGAGGAGAAAACATCCAACTCTTACTAAAACCTTGGATCCATTGTCCATGTTCATCACGGGTGACTCCTCCATAACTAGAGTAAGAGCTTCCCCAATAGATAGATGCATCAACATCATACTTAAACCAACTTGAATATGGAGGTTTCCAAGAGACACTTTGATCCAACCCTTGCTACAACCTATAAGCCTCCAAGCTCCAAATTTGTGCAACCCTCTATAGCCAAGAATTTAGCCCTTTTATTAACCTCAATGCTACACCAATCAAGACCCGAGAAAATGAGGTCATCACGAGCCTTCCAGATGGATCACAAGATGATACCAAATAATAAATCCCAAATGTGAGAGGGTGAGGAAACATTCATTATAATCCAATTCTTAACATTACTACTAAAAAGTTGGAGTTCATATTTTTCCCATACTGCGCATCAAGGGTCAGCTAGATGGGATGTACTAAAGGACAGTGCCAAAGGAGGTGATCATCATCCTTCGCATGGTTTTGACAAATAGCATAAAGGTCACTATTAGTGAACTCTTCTAACACTAGTCTTCATCTTATCCTGAATAACCATCCAAATAAAAGTCTTCACTTATTGAGGACCCTTCAAACACCAAAATTCTTTCCAATTCAGGTTAACAACAACAAAGCTATTATAGGATTATAGTGAAATATATGCAGGTTTGACAGTAAAACACCCATATACAGTTTTGTTCCAACAATATTTATCTTCCCCATTATGAGGACTTGGAGGGGAATGGTTTCGAATCAAACCCATAATATTCCTAATGAGGAAGGTTTCAAGGTAACCCATATCCCAAGCTCACTCATAATTTATATAACCACAAACTCACCATGATTCCTCCAAAATCGAAGGCTTAACAAAAACCTCAAAATACAAGTTCAAACTCATGGAACCAAACATCCTTCAAAAAATGCATTGTGCAACCATTTCCAACTACCCACTTAATATTCCTAACAACATAATTCTACACCCCGACAATGCCTTTCCAAGTTTGAGAATCAACCTCTTTAGCTTGCACATTCGAGACAATATCATTCTCACATTTTATACTTGCCCTTCATCACTCAAACCCATAAGTTAAAAGGTTTGGATATTAACTCCCAAGCCATTTTCATCATAAAGGCCCTATTGACAATAATAAGGTTGCATAAACTCAAACCCCTCATTCTACTTTAGCTCACAAAATTTCTCCCACCAAATGGTATGCCACCCTCTATTCCTTTGCCCATCATTCCAAATAATTTTTTGTTGGGTAGCCTCCAACTTATCATAAATTCTCTTTAGGAATTAGAGTGGACTACATGGTGTAAGTCGACATAGTCTGAATAACACTATGGGTTAGAGTGATACTACCAACAAAAGCCAAGTGACTTGTTTTCCATGAAGAAAGTTGTTGAGTCACCTTCTGAACAATATGTTCATAAGCATAGTTAGTCTTTCTAGTGTGAAAGCTAGGTATCCTTAGGTATTTTCCCAAGTTTGATTTAACTTCGAAGCCTGCCATATCCATCAATCTTGCTTCCTTAATGTGGTTAACTCCCTTAAAGAAAAAAAACTAGTTTTCTATTCATTAATGTTGGTTATAATAGCCTTGCGAATAGGCTTAAGCAGTTAAGCACCACCTTCATTTGAGTAGTGGATGTTTCTCCTAATAGAAGAAGGTCATCGACAAATAACAAATAAGATATGCTTAGACCCTATTTTGCTAAGAAGAGGGCTTCCATCTACCTCTTCAGAGTTTTTTCTCAATCAAATAAAATAAGTGCTCCATGCACAAAACAAAAATATATAAAGATATAGGATCTTATTATTAGAAACCTTTTTAGGGCTTGAACTTATTCATTTTTATCACTATTAAAGCACACTTGAAAAGACACCAAAGGCAAGAAGTGATGGATAATGGATATAAAATGATTGACAAACACCAAATCACACTAAGTGTCAACAATAAAGTCCCACTTGACATTTTTGTAAGCCTTTTCAAGGTCCACTTTTATTGCCATAAATCCATACATTAACTTCGTTTTATGCATGCAATGATTACGTTATTCCTACCTTGCTTTCTTAAGATAAAGCTAGTTTGTCTTAGAGACATAAGTCTGTCCATGAATTTCTTAAGTCTAACAACAACCACCCTAGTGAGAGCTCTATAAATGACATTGTAGAGGCTGATCGTCCTATAATCTTGGATAACTGTAGGATTATCACTTTTGGGGATAAAAACAATATTAGTATTGTTAATGTTCTTAATTGTGTTAGGATCTATAAAGTTCTCCCTAACTCAATGGCAAACAAATATACTTATGGTATCCTAATGGTTTAAAAGAAAATAGGACGAAGACCATTTAAACCTAGAGCTTTAAGGGCGCCCATACAAAAAATCGTAGCTATAATCTCCAAGTTTAAATGAACAACTTGAATAGATAAAATCTCATTAAAACAAAGATTCAAAAAAATTTCCCTTAAGGGGCAGTCCACAAACCCAAAACAATCTTGTAAGAGATTCTTATAATAACTTAGAATATGATCTTTAACCTCTTGATGTTGATCCAAAACAGAACCATCATCTAAGCAGAGAGAGCGAATAACATTCCTTCTTCTTCTAGTTATGGCAGCCAAATGATATAATTAAGTGTTCTTATCCTCCAGAATAAAAATTGAATTAGATAATAAGTTATAAGAATTCCTATAAATCCTAAAATCCCTAAAAATACTATCGCACAAGATAATAATTTAATATATGAGTGTTGATAACCCAACAAATCTATTTTTGAATGTGTGCGAGTCTTTTTTAAATTTGTGATAAAAATAATTTATTCTATTATTATTAAAATTTTGATTGTAAAAAAAAACATAAAAGAGATAACTCGTATATACTAATGTATACTCATGCATAAAGTGTGACGAAAATAGACAATATTATATAATTTTTTTTATTAACATTCTTTGTATTCCCTTTAAAATATGTTAAATAACCAATCATAAAAATGAAGGAAAGGAGCAAATAAAGATGCAACTATTAGAATTTATATTTTTTATTTCTTAATTTCATATGAAACATTTAAGTGTAATAAAAATATCAAAAATATAATTAATTAATTTATTTTAATTAATTATATTATTAATAATTTAATTTATATATTAATTTTTATTATATTATATAATTAAATAGACTGAACTGTCAAGTTTAACAATTTTTTTTATAAATTTAAGTCAAACATTTTTTAAAAAACAAGTCTCTTTAAAAGTTTAAATTTGAAATTTTTTATTAAATAGGTTAGGTTAGTCAAGTCACACCCCTAATTTCTAATAACACACTTATTTCCATTGATAAGAACTAATTAAAAGCTATAAAATCATCATAAAGAATTATTAAATAAAATGTGAAATTTATCAAATTATATATTTTTTAATAAATTTTAATAATAAAAAAAATGCATTTAAAAGAATGTTGAAGAATTTATTACTAACATGTTTCAAATATATATGGATATACTTTTCAATCTTTACCACAAATACTGAAAATGTGAAATTAACAAATATGAAAAGGTTGAGAAAAATAAAGAAATTTGAAAAGGCAAAAAGCAACAAGAGCGGGTTCGGGTATCGGGTGCCCCTTTTCATTCGGATAATTCCGTTTGAGTAAAATTATAAAACAACGCTTAGGGGAAGGAAAATAGGGTACAATTTTTACAAATCTCGGTTGAGAGGAGCGAGTAGGGTTTTTGTGTCTGAGAAAAAAGTGAAGAAGAACAAGTATGAGTAGGAGTTTGGGAATACCGGTGAAGCTTCTCCACGAGGCTTCGGGGCACGTGGTGACGGTGGAGCTCAAGAGCGGTGAACTCTACAGAGGGAGCATGATCGAGTGCGAAGACAACTGGAACTGTCAACTCGAAAGCATCACCTACACTGCAAAGGTTCTTTCTCTTTCTAATCCTTTTTTTTATTATTTTTTTTTATCATAATGCTGATTTAATTCGCGATTCAACTGTTTGTGAGATCAATTGGGGTTAGGGATCTTTGTGAAGATGCGCACCGTTTTTGGCTTTTGTTTGAGTCCCAGGAATTTTGAAGAAAGAGGGTTTTGCTTCTTCTGAAGTGTGCGGAAGGAGAAGCTAAATTGAGTTTGAACCCTTCAGTTTGGTTTGGATTAAGCCGTTGCTAACAAGCATTTTATCTAACACTAGCTAGCCGGGAAAATGTATTGACAGTCTTTGTCTTAGTTGATGAATTTCTTTGAGTTGAGAGGAATATAGGGAAATGGAGATTGATGCATGGATGTTGGGAATGTAGAATAATAGATTTGGGGAGGGTTTCGACCATTTTTGTATGCAAATGTCCATGGGAACTAGGGAGGCAGTGTCTGCAACAGACATGTTGTACTATGTCTGTCCTTGGTTCTTTATTAAGGACAGTACTTGTATTTAGGGTTCAGGCATTATTAGTTTGAAAAGTGTTTAAAATGTTCATTTTGAACTATGTATTTTTGTAGGATATAATGATTCTGGATACATGAGGAGCTAATATGAAATTGCATTTTTGCTAATTTTTTTGATTTGTAGAGATGTTTAGTGTCTCTAATTTCAAGTATATTTGTTAAGATATACAGTGTGTTAGCGCTAAAAAAATGTTAGCCAGTTTAGTATGGCTAGTGGCTATGCTATTCCTCATTCAGCCGATAGCTAAATTTTAACCCATACTGCTAAATGATATTAATTGCTGAGTTGACTCTTTTTCAGGACGGGAAAACATCGCAACTTGAGCATGTGTTTATTCGAGGCAGCAAAGTCAGGTTCGGATCATGTTACTTAGTGACTTCATAATTTTATATCATGCAAGGTTGTATGCCTCAATGATATGTTGTTCAGAAACTTTAAAATTTTTAAAATTCTGAATAAGGTTGTATGTTGTATTTTCTGGAAGGACAGTGCTTTGACATGATAATAATTTGACAGGTTTATGGTCATCCCAGACATGCTGAAGAATGCTCCTATGTTTAAGCGTTTGGATGCAAGAATCAAGGTACCTTTTTTATTTTCAAGTTATTAACTACTCCATGTTTGTTTTATGTGTGCTTTTGTATTTTATGCTTTTTGAATCTCTTGAAGGGCAAGGGTGCATCACTTGGTGTTGGTAGGGGCAGAGCAGTTGCAATGCGAGCAAAGGTACTTACCTTTTTTGATTGTTTATTGAGTACTAATTTACCAGTGTAGATTTAGCCTCAAGAAATTGCTTCTTATTCAATATCCTGCTAGTTAAGGACTTACCATGTGACATGTGTAAACTCCAAATGTTGCTTGTGTAGGCTCAAGCTGCTGGTCGTGGATCTGCACCTGGAAGGGGTGTACCACCAGTGAGGAGGTGATCACCTTTGAAATAGTCTATTTTTCCTGTCTGTTTGATGTAATATTTTTAGATTTTTTTTTTATGTAGAAGTTTATGAGAGACAAATTCGAATGGAAATTGCGTATCAAGACTTTACAGATTACTTGCTCTATTTATGGGATATTACAAGATCCCAAATTTGTTCTCACTTCTCACCACCTCTAGTATTTTGATTCGGTACTGTGTACTTCTTAGCTAGTAGAGTTTTGTAAAGGGTATTTTGCAACTTTCAAAACTAGTTTTAAAAAATAAAATGGTACTAGATAGAATCAGCAGGGTTTGACAACTGTCAAAACTGGTTTAGAACTGTTAGTGATAAATTAGAACTTGGACTTGTTTGAAAAGGGTAGTTGGGAAGTATTGGTTCCCAACAGTTTTGAAAAACGAATTTTGAGAACAAAAAACCAAAATGAAATGCGATTGATACCAGTTTTCACCTCCATTCCTTTTTCACCTTCATTCAAACCTTTATTGATCTCTCCATGTTACTACATAATGTCTTGAATCACCAATGTTGAACCAGTTAGCTTGCCGATAACAAGTCACCTTTACACCTGTGACTAAGTTTGATTATACGAATGAAACTTACCTCAATTAGTTGGTCTCGAACATAATGTTTATATGTTTGACAAAAAAAAACATTCCTTTTAAGTGTGAATTACAAACAAATTTTAGTTGAATCAAAATCTAGAAAGTTATTTATTTATTTTATTTTTTTAAGTTAGTTTGGAAAGTTAACTAACTAAACTTTTTAATTACAACAATTCAAACATACTGTGTTGTTGGACTCTCACCCCTCACCGCATTTAGCACGTTAGAAAGGAGGGGTGAAAATAGAAGAGGTGAAAGAGTTGATGGCATTGGCACCTCCCCCTCATCTCAAGAGACAAAATGAAACTTGTTGGATTGTAAAACCTGGACTAAGACTCGTGTGTGAGTAATTAAGTATAAAATCATGTGATATCTTTTTTTTTTCCCTTTATTTTTGGGTATTTTAATCTTAGTTGTATGTTTGGATGAGAAATTTGAGAAATTTGAGAAATTTAGAGTGTGTTTAGATGAGAAATTTAAATGAAATATTTGTTTTTTAAGAATTTCAAATGTCTAGGGATAAATGTTTTGTTTTAATGGAGAAATTACAAAGAATTTAAAATTTAAATATTTGTGAAAATTTTTAAAATAATAGAATTTTAAATTCTTTCAAAAAAGTAAAAATTAATTTTTTTTCGTATTTTTTCTTTCTTATCTCACTTATATAGTTTTTATGTCTCCATTATTCCTTAATTATTAAATATTTAAAAATATTTTTTAAATTATTAAATATTATCTAATATTAACTTTTAAAACTATTAAGTATTTTTAAAATGAATAATATTTATTCTTATAAAACTTAATCTTAAAATCTTAATATATATATATATAGAGAGAGAGAGAGAGGAGGATTATAATAATATCATTGTAACTTTTACTAAGTATTACACCGCTAAATAATTTTATATTAAATGTGAATTTTGTAAATTCAATCGTTAGATTGGAAGTTCATATCACTTTACATGCTTATATCAAATTTTGTTAAAATTGAACAACTTGAAGGTAATCAAAGTGTTCAAATTTTAATATATTTTAAAATGAACATATTACGTTAATTTTGTTTTATACAAATAAAATATCAAATTATTTTGGATTAATATAAAATTTTGTATATATGATCTAAGAGTAAAATATTTTCAATCTAACAGTTAGATTTACAAAATTTACATTTAATATAAAGTTATTGAACAGTAAAAGTTACACCGGTGTTATTATAACCCTCCTCATATATATATATATATATATATATATATA